TTGACACTGTACTGATCTTGCTACTGCTGTCTGTGTAAGTAATACATTTCAAGTAAGTACTCATTGTAAGCAATAAATTTGGGAGTGTCATTATTTACCGTGTAGGTCTGTGAGAGTTTATTAAATTCCATCTACTAGCTACTACTGCATTGTTGCTTATAGACTGTTTGAAGTCTTGCAAGAGAGAAGGAGAACCTTGTCAATTTTGTTCAACACTGTATCTCTAGTACCTAACCCTTGATATCTGGTGCACAGTAAGTGCTTCACATACATTTGCTGAATTTAATAAACTGTAACAATAATACATATATTATGCAGATAATAATATATGTGTATATATCCAAGGATATATCAAACTCACTGCAGTGGGAGCCTATGAGGAAGGATGGGGAAAACATGTATGCTATGTAAGAAGAAGCAGCTTTCTGTTTTTTTTTTTTTTTTCATTATCCTTCTCTTAATTTGCATGAGTACTTAGAGTATTTAGTAACTTGTAAGCCCGGCCTCTATTTTTCAGTTGCAATATAATGATCATCATCTTTCAAACTGTTTCAAGGAACCCCACCATTCTCATGATGGCAGGAGTGCTACCTTTGCAATTAAGACAGTGGCACTTTTATGAGGAGTTTTCACAATGCTCACAGAAAAACACAATATGACTAAATTGAGCATGAATTTCAAATTTTTGCACCAAAATAAACCTTTCTTTTGATTCCACCTTTCCAGAAATATTTTTGAATCCCCTTTGTGTTTTATATGTTAGACTTTATCATAGACATATTTAAAAGAAATGCTTTGGCAGCTAAAAACCAAAACCAATCTGTAACTATGGACTTAGTTTTAGTTTTTTTTAATTTATTTTTTTAACGTTTGAATAGATGTTTTATTTATGTGAAATTTAAATCATGCCATGTTTTTAATGTGTTGTTAATATTTTGAGATATTGTTGAACTGAATCACTTCTTTTTTTTTTTATCAGTGTTTAAGTTTCCTTGGCATTAGAGGTCATCTTTTATTTATCTATTATTTTTTTATTGCATTTCATTTTATGATATCGTTTCATAGGCTCTGAGGTTCCCCCAACCCCTCCCCTTATCATCTCCCCATGGTGGATTCCTCCACCTTATTGCAGTATTACAGTTCAAATCCAGTCATACTTCTTTCATTGCAAGAATGTACCATGCACAGAGTTCAGTAGCAGCAGTTTTAGTTTTAAAATGCCTAAACATGAATCAAAGCAAGAATAACTTGACAGCTACATACTCGGGGGAGAGAGGGCAAAGCAGCAGTGTTATAAGGTAAGTGGTTCTCAGATGATGGTATTCTTTGGGGTTCAGGTAGAAGGGTTTGCTGAAGACATCCAAATTCCCAACTCAAAATTTGTTCAGGGCCATCGCTGTGATTTGGGATTCATGAAACTTTCTCTTATTTGGAGTCTGAGGAAAGTCTGGAAAGGGTGGTTCCTGGGAATGAGTAAACCCCAAATCACTCCATGGTACTTAAACAGACTGTTCTCCTATGCCCTCCCTCAGTTTAAGCAAGTGTTCTTTGTTTGTTTCTTCTTGAAGATTCTGGATTGTACTCATGTCGACGACCAGGCTTAGGACCCAAGCACCAGGTTTAGTCAATCATTAAGATACAGTTTCCCCCAAAGTTAATGTTTCTGATGTTTGGATGCATTACACATTCAATGCGTACATTTAATGTGGGCGTGCACCCAGTTTTTTTCCTCTGAAATATTGTTATGAAATAAATTCCACATTTATAATTTGATAATGTTTCAAATTCAAGGAAACCCATATCTTAACAGGAATAATAAGTAAGAAATACTAAGGTAGTTCAAAATATTTATGCAAAATACGTATTATGAAAAACTTCTACATAGATTTACAATTTTCACCAAAGTAGACTCACCTTTAAAATTTTTATTTCATCTGTCTTAATGGCAGAGTGATAGAGACAGGAAGTGGGGGAGAGAGACAGATAGAGAGTGAGAGAGATCTTCATCCACTGATTCACTCCCTAAATAACTGCAAAGGTTGGGGCTGGGCCAGGCCAAAGCCCTGAACTCCATGAGGTCTCCCATGTGAATGGAAAGGGTCCAAGTATTTGAACCATTTCTGCTGCCTTCTAAGACATTAACAGGAAGCTGGATAAGATATGAAGCAGATGGTACTTGAACTAGCACATCAGTATGGGACACTGGCATCACAAGTGGTGGTTTAATCTGTTGTGCCACAATGCTAGCCCCAGGTTTATCATTTAACTTCATTTTTCTCAAAACCTCTGAAGTACTCTCATACCTGAGATGAAGTCAACAACCTTTATTTTGCGTCTTACCAATAGGATTAAGCAGTAATAGTGATGTCATCATAAATGTGCCCATGGAATAAATTTCAGGCTATCAATCAGGATTCTAAAAAATCTTTTTGATATGATAGCTTGCCAGTAAATCACTTCCCATAATTATTCTTATTTTTTTCAAGAACAATTTATTTGTTTATTTATGAAAGGCAGAGTGACAATGACAGAGGGAGGGACAGAGAGAAAGTGAACCATATTCCAATTCACTCCCCCAAGAGCTGTACCAACCAGGACTGGATCAGGCTGAAATCAGGAACTCAGAACTCTATTTAATCGCCTACAAGGGAAACAAGGCCCCAAGTAGATGATAGAGCATCATCTACTGCCATTTCAGAAACATTAGTAGGAATGTGGATTGGAAGTGGAGTACCCAGGACCCAAACCAGCATTCTGATAAGGGTTGCAGACATCCCAAGCAGCAGCTGAGCCACAATCACCCTACTCTGCTTTACTTTTGCTGTACCCACTACTTACACCACACTATTCCATGCATGGATACTTTGCCGGAGACTGTTCAGGGTCAACATCAACAGTCTGAGAAAGAGTGAGACAGGTCTGAACAGAGCGGTCTGCTAGGGGGAACAAACTGCTAGCGGCATTCTGTGTGCGAGGCAGCAGTCAGCCAAAGGCCAGAGGCCTCAGAGGCGGTGTCCTTTTGAGATAACGAGTTCACACGGAGCTCCATTCTCCCGTGAGAGAAAGCCTGTTCTTCAACTCCTCTCAGTGGCTACTTAGCAGTAAGACTGGGGATGTGACCTTAGACTACTGCCACATCAGTAGGGAAATTTGTTACCTAGAGGAAATCTTGGCCTCACCCACACCGCTACTCCTACTTTTATAATCTTGTGTCTGTCTCTTCTGTCTACTTGTGCAACATTGCCCTCCACACCCTGATTCATGCTGCACAGGTTGCACTAAAACTCTTACCTTTTGTGATGGAAAATCTTTCTTGGAATTTTGTCCCATGTCAAAATTCTATGCATCCAGTGTTGATCCCTTCCTTCTTTATGTTACTATGTACTTGATATATACTTTCAAATATGTGCTTACCATATTGAACTACAGTGATTTATTAGATATCTACCTCTCCTTTAGTGTAAATGTATTTTTTGGCATCTCAAAATCAATTTCATACAGTACTTGGGACATAGCCACATTCACTAAGTACTTAAACAAACATGAATAAAGAAAAATAAAGAAAAAATGATACACAAGTGGTCAAGTGCCATAACAGCAATACATGCCATTTTTGCTGCTGTCCTTCAGTGGTTTCTCAGCTTCAGTGGTTCTCATGGCTTATTCAAACCTGAAGTCTTTGTAATCTCATGATTGTCCATACTAAGGTTAATTGCTAAAAACATTATTTCACTTACGTAGCCTGGTCTCTCAAGTCAATTATAAGTTGGAAATTGTGAAGGCTTCTGCATGCAATTATTCCGTTTTACATAAATTGTATATTCCTCTTATGAGATGTGATGGATTTCCAATATTCTTCATTCAGAACACCTTTATTTATTAAAATTGGAACTAATTTGCATGAGAGAATTGGAAAGGTTTACAACAACTTTATTTATTTAGGGCCTAGAATTTCTCCAGAGTTGAGAGCAATCCTCAACACCAGACATCAAAAATGTGATTTCACAGTAATTTAAGAGAGAGGAATTTGAATATTACTGGTAAAACCCTGGGAGCTAATTACTTCAAGATCACTTGAAACCTTAACTCATTATAGTTTCAAAAATCTCCTGAGGTACTTTGTCACCCTTCCTATTATGTTACTTGATTCAACTGAATGCTTAGATTTTGCTAATAAAAGAAAGCCTGACGTTCATGCAAAAGCGATTCCATTTATCATTTGCTTAAGGAAAAACATTAAGTATTTCCCGTGGGTCCCTCAGTATTCTATAAGGAAGGAAAAAGAAAGCACAGTCCCTGATCTCAACAGATTTTTAGCACCAGAATTTCTTGTGTTGCCACAATGAACTGAATTTCACTTTAGAAGGCCTCCAGACTTTTCAGCAAGCTTACTATGAGGATCAATCAAACCAAAGTAAGGCAATATCACTGTTATTGCTGAGTATTGTATAGAAGCAGTGATTTGGCAAAGTATGCACTCGAACACACTGTGGTGCCCTTAAGATAAGGAACTCAAGTAGCATTTTAGATGTTTTACTCATATTTTCAATTACAAATAAGCAGAGATCCAAAAATTAAGAGAAAATTCCTCATAAAATCCTTCTTTGCAAGCTGAGTCAGTACATGAAATACAGAAATAAGGCATGCCTTGGATTCAAGGAAGGAACTTTTCGTTCTGCTCACCTGCCAGCTCACAGAAGTTAACCAATCAGATGACATGCATAGGAAATAATTATGATGAAAGAAAATTCAGTCCAACCAGATTAGGTAGCTTTAGTAGGACTAGAAATTGTGTCTATCACACGGTATCATCTGGTTTATTTGTAAATCTTATCCAACACATATAAACTTAGCTTATTTTGAACATGTTATCAATTTTAAGCTATCTAGCCTATTGTTCCACTATACCTGAAACACAGCAACCACTACATATTGCATAAAGCAGTCAGTCAATTTGGCTATGAAAGTCTATATAAAATGGGAATGAGGGAGAGGCTTACCACTAAATCCTTACAACATGCTGTTGAAGTATCTTTTCTTGTCAATCCCAGGAATACATCTTCAGTTCCCACCTGCTGTTGGAATACAATCTCATATCTGGAAAAAAAGTCAATGATAATTGATATCAATGAAAGAGTAATGACCTGTGACACAGCAGAAATATAGAAAATTATGAGGACATACTATTTCAAAAACAAAAAGGACTAAATAAAGTCCTTGCAGTTCATCAGGCATATAGAACACACAAAAAAACAGATGTCTATGAATGCAGGTAAAAATATCAAAGATTACTAAATAGAATTACTATTTTACACATGTTTTCTTTTTAATAAGTTTTGTTGACCTATTTTATTTGAGAGGCGCAGAGACAGATTGAGCAAGAGAAAACACACTCCCATCTACTGCATCAGATAGGCCCGGGCAGGCTGCAGTTGGGAGCTGTGAACTCAATTCACTTGTCCCACATAGGTGTCAGGAACTCAACTACTTGAGCCATTCCCAGCTGCCTCCCAGGGCACACAGTAGTAGGAAGTAGAGTTAGGACTTGAACCCACGCATACTGATACGAAATATGTGTCTCAAGCAGCATCCTAACCATCAGGCCAAAGCTTTCCTTATGATGGTTCTTCTAAAAAAAACTTTTACAGCCGTACAAATAAAATGAATTAAGGGAACTTTCAAAAAATTCTAAAATAATTAAAAGGAGGGAAAAAAAGAACACTCCTGAAAAACAATGCGTCAGGGCCTGGCGGCGTGGCCTAGCAGTTAAGGTCCTTGCCTTGAACACCCAGGATTCCATATGGGCGCCGGTTCTAATCCCGGCTGCTCCACTTCCCATCCAGCTCCCTGCTTGTGGCCTGGGAAAGCAGTTGAGGACAGCCCAAAGCTTTGGGACCCTGCACCCATGTGGGAGACCTGGAGGAAGTTCCTGGCTCCTGGCTTCAGATTGGCATAGCATCAGCCGTTGCGCTCACTTGGGGAGTGAATCATCAGACGGAAGATCTTCCTCTCTGTCTCTCTCCTCCTCTCTATCTGACTTTCCAATAAATAAATAAATCTTAAAAAAAGAAAAAAGAAAAACAATGCATCAGAGAAACAGTAGGTCTTTACACATGATTTGATGGCAAGAAAGGCAACTCAGTTTCTATACCCAAAGTCGAATTCATTGCTCCTCCAACATACTCCTTATCAGAGTCAATGACTTCACCATTTACTTAATCACTCAAGCCAGTAATTTGAGCATCATCTTCCAACCTCCCTTCTTATCCTTTTATACCTTTCATCAAATGTCAAATGTTTCTTTTTCTGTAATTATTTTATTTTAATAATCTTTACATAGTTGATTAGGATACAAAGGATCAAGAGCCACAGGAAAATGGGTAAGACCATTGTTTCCACATTATTATTATTATTATTATTATTATTATTACTGTATCTGGGGTAAGCAGGGAAATAAAGGGAGAAACTCTACCCAGTCTCCCACCCATCCCAGGTCCCCGAAGTGGGGCATGCTCTGAGGGTCCTGCTCAAGTGGTTTTGATAATTCAACAGTTCTGAATTGCTGCCAATCTCACCATTCCAAGCGCGATGAAATCTCTCCAGAATGCACTAGCTGACATAGTTCGCCTTAGAGTGTCTGCCCAGATTTTCACTGCCAAAATGTGCCTGGGGTAGTTGACTGGTTTGATTTGTCCTCCGTCCTCTGTTGCAGTACCAGGTGTCGTCTGCAGGTTCCAATGGACTGCCATATCCTCCATGTGCACCTGGATACGCTGTCCACTGCTCTGTCTGAGCCTCTGAGGAAGCTCAGCTTTGACACATACACTCGATGGTCAGACCATGGAACCTGCAATTCTCTTCATGGTTGGGGTTCTGAGTTCACCAATTCAGTAGGAGGGATCCCCAAAAAACTTCATCTGAGGTGATCCCAGACCTGATTTTTGTGTGTACTTGCCAGTACAGGGTCCGGCACAGTCGCCCCAATCAGCTTATGCACATGCTGGTCAAGTTGCTGGGTTAGTTCTGTTTTTAGCTCTGTCTTCCAAATGAACTAATGGTTGTTGCAGTCCAGCTCAATCCTGCCCAGAACACTCTTGGCCCTTACACAAAACAGTGGGAGCTGCAGTCCAGTCGGAGTGACCCACAAAAGCCCCCAACAGGCTCGCCCTCTGTCCTGGTTCCCGTGCTTGCCAGTTTGTACTGCAGACTGGTCCAATCTGTCCCACAGCTCTCATACATATCAATGGACAATGAAGCCTAGTTCAACCCAACCAGCCCCCCATCCAACCCACACACGTGCCAGTGGGTGCCATTTTGTCTTTCCACCACTGCCCTAGTCCTGGTTTTCATGCTCTCCAATGGGAGTGATAATCCCAGAGGGAGGTGTCCACTATTTCCCTACTGGGCCACTCCCACTCCTGGAACATGCACTCCCCAGGTGGTTCTGCAGTTTGACTTGACAGAATTAGCCCCCAGTGCCAGCTTCTGCCAGCTGATGCTGTGACAAAGCCCAAGCAACCCACACTCACTCTAATTCATGCTTGCACCAGTAGGAACAGTCAGCCCAGCCTGGCTTTCCCCTGATCTAGCTCACATGAGGCCCATGGGTGTTGTACCCCTTCCTGGTCTGGTCTGCTCCCATTCCAACTCACACTTTCTGGTGAGAGTGGCAGTTCATCAGGGGAGCCCTATCCCCTCCCTCCCTGGTTCTCATGTATGCTGGTTGGGAGCTGCGGCCCAGTTTGGCATGGCCTCTGTCGCCTAGGCATTTTTCAGTGCGTGTTATACCCTGACCTGACCCGGCCCACCCCCAATTCCAGCTGATGCTGGTGAGGGTTACAGCCTAGCCCAACCCACCAGGCATCCAATCCCGGCTGTAATGTAGACTGGTATGTGTTGCAACTGAAACTGGCCCAACCCACACTCTGCTCTGGTGTCTGGATTTGCCAGTGGGTGATGTGAACTGGTTCAGCCTGGTCTGCCCCCAACCTATGCCAAATGTATACCAGTAGGTACCTTTCCCTGGCATGGTTTTGGCTGCTCCCTATCATAGTTCTTGCACTCACCTGCAGGGACTGTGTCCTGCCAAAGGAGTTGCCCAGGCTCCTCCATCAGAACCTCTCCTAATGCCAGATCTCGTGCATACTGGTAGGCCCATGAGCCAGCCTTACTTAGTCCATTCTTGTCCTGGCCTTTCCTGACTGGTCTTCAACCCATTCTGGTTATTACTGTTGGATGTTTCAGGCTAGCCAAGGCTCGTCCATACCCAGACACAGCTCACACATGGCTCAGTAGGGTCAGCAACCTAGCTTAGTCTGTCCTACATCTATCCTGGTCCTCCAGAGCACCAGTGGGTGCTGGAGTTTAGCCCAGATTGGTGCACCCAGTCCAAGTCCACACTTGTGCCAAGGGACACTGCAGCCATATCCAGACCAGAACACAGCCCCCACTCCGGCCCTCACACTCACTAGTGGGAACCCCAACCCAGGCAGGGTGTCTTCTTAGCTCCCCAACCAGGCCTGTTCCCAGCCACAGATCGTGTGCTTGCCAGTGGCAAACATCAAATATTTCTTCAAACTCTTTCAAATAACCTTATCCCATGCTCTGATTATTGTTTCATTTGGCTATTTAAGATTGTGTGTGTGTGTGTGTGTGTGTGAAATTCCCGTTCTTTTACTGATTGAGGTATCTTGAAATGTAATTTCATAAGGAGGAAAATAAAGATTAAAAACCTTATAAAGCAATTTGCTCATATCTTGAATGAAGTGATTCATTTAAAGCTTCATGGATGTTCTATTAAATTTCATGATTGAGTATCATGACAGAGAATATCAAATTTCATGATTGAATGTAAAAGTTTACTAAAATTTAGAGCTTGCTGCATGTGAATGGCTGACATTCATCAGAGACTGACAAATGAGTGGCTTATTTCTCACCTTTCTGCTGATGTGTGGACACTACATAAACGTAATCTGAAATTTACTGTTCTTTCTTAAAGTGCAAACAGAATCTCCTTTTTTTTCAAAATGAGGTTTACAGGTTTTCAACATTGTTTATTGAAGAATACTTCCCTTACAGTTCTTTATCTGTAGTGTTCCAACGTTTCATTTCCACTTTCAGAACTGGTATAGAAGACATAAGCATTATTTTAAAGTATTGGATAATTTTGTAGTCAGAATCAGAAAAGTTGTTAAATAAGTTGCCACAGAAGTCATTAGAAATTTATAAAGTACATTAAAATTTAGTGATTTTTTTCACTATTTTGTTATAGTTTTTCTTGTAATATATATTTGAAAGGCAGATCTGCAGAGAACGAGAGACAGAGAAAAAGATCTTCCATCCATTGGTTCATTCTCCAAATGGCCACAATGGTTAGAGCTGAGCCAATGTGAAACCCAGAGTCAGGAGCCAGGAGTCTGTTACAGGTCTCCTGCGTAGATGTAAGGTCCCTAGGCTTTGGCTCATCCTCCATTGCTTTCCCAGACCACAAATGGGGAGCTGGATGGAAAGTGAAACAGCTAGGAAATGAACAGGCACCCAATGTAGAATACTGGTGCTTGCAGGTGGAGGATGAGCCATTGCATTGGCCACTGTTCATCTTTTCTAAATATTCAATCAAGATTTTATTTTAAAATATATGCATTTAAAGCTTAGATCATTAAACCAATAGTTTCATATGTGTATTAAAATCTACTTTAAGTGAATAATGAGTGATTGTTAAAATAAGAATGAATGGCTATATATGATATTAATTCTGTTTCATATTTATAATTCCATGGCATTGAAATGGCTGTAAAGCAAGGCTTGAATTTTGGTTGCAAACTACACTGAATACAAAGAATAAGGCTAAAACATCTAGTTAAGAAGTCTGGAAAATAATTGGTAACTGGAGGGAGAACATAGCCTTTTATCAAAATTATAGAACATTAAGTAATTAAAAGCAGGTCTTTGACACATAAAAATGGTTTTATAATTTGGTTTGTATGAATGCTTGCGATTTAATGGGCTGGTTTTCAACCACTGTTAGTTTCACAGTATACAACAAACTGACATTAAATACAAATTCATAATGGAAATGATTGCATTTTTCATTTTTTGCTAGATAATAGCTGAAAGGAAGGTGTTATGTTTTATTATTTGTTTCTGCTCTAGAAGGAGAAAAACCATCAATTATACATCCCTTCTGTGTATCACTGTAGCTTTATCTTTTATGTGGTGCAAGCTATTTTATGAATCTTGTCAAAAATAGGATGATATCAGATGACACATCTACTTAAACCAATAAACACATTTCTGGCTTCATTTGACTTACTCTGGGATTTCTCTAATGTCCCACATGTCATCATGCTCTGCTCCTTCTGGAACCTCTTCTGGATTCCAGATGTCCTTGCTATTTTCATCACTGGCTTGAGGGATGACTGTGAAGGAAAACAAGATAAATCTGAGCCTTTTGCTTGTTTTTTTTTTTTTTCTCTCTCTCTGTAAATTGCTTCTGTTCTTCTTCACACTCATTTTGGAATAACTGAAGTAAAGCATTCACCAGCTCATTTTTTTTTTTTTTGGTCAAAGCAAGCTAAACTATCAACACCTGATTTTAAGTATTTATCACCACACAATCAATACATTGCCGAAGTGCAATGATAATTACAAAAAGTTCAGAAAAAGCACAAAGTCAAAGCGAGAAAATAGCACAATACACAATCCAATTACCTGGAGATAATCCATTTTGGTGCTTGCTCTCTGTCTTTCTCCCTGTCTCTCTCTCTCTCTGATTCTCTTTTTCTCTCTACCCCCTTCACTCTCCCTGAGGGTACCTCAAAAAGTTCATGGAAAATGGAATTTAAAAATGAGTTGATTGGGGCTAGCATTGTAGCATAAAGGGTAAAGTTGTTGCCTGCAACAACAGCTTCCCTTATGGGTCCCAATTCATGTCACGACTGTTCTCCTTTTCGGTCCAGCTCCCTCCTAACAGCCTGTGAAAAACAGTGAAAAATGGCCCAAGTGCTAGTGCCCCTGCACCCACATGGTACACCCAGAAATAAGCTCCTGGGTATGGCTTTTGATCAGCTCAGCTCTGGTCATTGTCACCATTCAGGGAATGACCTAGTGTATGAAACAATACTCTTCTCTCTTTGTGCCTGTCCTTCTCCTTGTAAATTTACCTTTCAAATAAAAATAAATTTTAAAAACTATTGTCAATTAAAATACTGAAAGCAGTGGAGATAATGGTGCATATGAACTATACAGGAAATCTCTCTCCTGCCTATAGTGTAGAACTGAGCATATTCTTGGGTTTCTATTTATTATCCTTAAATGTTTAAAAGTAGACATGCAAAAACATAGCTTATATTTTGGTCTATTGTGTGTCATCAAATGGAGAGTCCCGCTAGATGCAGAACATTACTTTGAGTTCTTTTCAGCATTTCCAGAAACGCACTTGATTGTCAAGTTTTCAATGCTGCCAATTAGTCTGAAATTACCTGCTTCTATTTAGCATGCACTTTGTAAAACCTAACTACAGATTTATATATAACATTTTACAGATGACTCATTGCCCTCAGAATTCAGAAATTATTAGGCCAATATTATCAGAAATACGGGCAGCGCAGCTTAGAAATGCATCCAAATTTGAACTAATTTGCCATGGAGTATCTGTTGAATAAAGCAAATAGTCTCTTGAGTATGTGCAGCAATAATGACAGCAATTTAAAAGCCATCCACAGTCCTCTTTTTGGCCATTATTTCAATTTTTTCAGATAAAATCTTCCACAATTAGCCACATTCATGAAAGAAATTCACTTCCTCTCCCTGCTCATCTTCTGGTAATTGTGATTATGACCAACAGAATGGAGCTTCCTGTATTTTCAAGGCTTTGTAAAAATGTTCAGCTCTTTGAATATGCAGAGGAAAATTGTTCGAAAAATATAAGAAATTACTTATTTTACTTCATTGGATCTATGATCTTATAAGCTATCTTATGGACCTTATTTATAAGTATTTTAATGCAAGATAAACATTGTGTAGTACTTTGCTTTTGTTGTCCTCTCCAAAAGGCTGTTAGCTCAGTCAGGGAAAGCATTCTATTTTGATCTCCATCATAGTCTCAGAAATGATCTTACTGCTTGTTATTCATTACACTGTAAATACCTGAGTATGAAATGAATCAATTATGAATTTTTGAAGTTACCAGACTATGGGAGGGTAGATGATAAAAGAATTAAATGTTTTGGTAATCAAATAATAGAAAATAAGAAGTTATGTAGGGGGCAGCATGGTGGCACAGCATGGTAGTCTTCCACCCAGCATCCTGTACTGCTGCCAGATTGTATCCTGATTGCTCCACCTTTGATCCAGCTCTCTGCTTATGGCCTGGGAAAGTGGAGGAGGATGGTCCAAGTCCTTGGGCGTGTGCATCGATGTGGGAGACCTGGAAGAAGCTCCAGGATCCTGGTTTTGGGTTGGCTCAGTCTGGCCTTTGATTTGGGAAATGGCCAAATTCTTTTCTCTCCTTCTCACTCTGTAAAATCTGCCTTTCAAATGAAAATAATTTTTTAGAAGTTATATAGTCACACATGACTTTCTTAGTTAACATTCCCATGATTGTTTTAGTTTATTTTTCTCCCTTTTACAATGAATCAGGTTTTATAAAAACTTATTTAATGTTATTTGAAAGGCAATGTCACATAGAGGAGAGACACAGAGAGACACAGATGAGGTCTCCCACATGGATTCAGGGTCCCAAGAACTTGGACCATCTTTTGCTACTTTCTACTTTCTAGGTTATAGACAGAGAACTGGATCAGAAGTAGAGTAACCAGGACAAGAACTGGTGTCAATATGAGATGCTGGCACCACAGGCAGAGGATTAGCTTGATATGCCACCACACTGGCCCCAGATTAATTTTTTTCATGAAATCTTTGCAGGTTATGGTCATCATTATTTCAAATATTATTTCTGCTCCCTCTTCTCACAGGCTGAAGCTTAGCCTACTATGCCACAACATCAACCTCGAATTACTTGTTAAAAAAAAAAAAGGCTGGCAAAGCTTAAATATATTTATTGTACACAATTTGATGTTTTAAAGTATGTGCATGTTGTGGAGTGGCTAAATCAAATGAACTAATAATTGTACTGCTTCACATATCATTCCTGTGTGGTGATAACACTTGAAGTCTGCTATCAGAAATTTTCAAGGCTATGAGTATAATGCATTGCTATTGAGATCATGCTAATAAGTACTGATTTTAGTATCATTCACCCTACCATTTTTCTATCAAAATGTATATTGATCTACACTGCTTTGTTAAATAACTTACTTTTGACCTCTTCTTTTTTTGGTGGTCCAATATTTCCTGGTCCCATGGCTCCAAGAGCAGATGAAGAATTTGACTGGAGGACAAGGGAAAAAGTCCAAGATTCTATAATTACTACTTGCATGACTTATATGTCTAAATAAATCTGACAAGCTTTCCATCTAAACATTGAAAGAGCTCTCCAGTTTAATACAGCAGAGAGACAGATGCCAATTACTGCTTTGAATGTGCTTTCTTACCCTTTCCAAAAAATATTCAGTTTAATAGATTCTAGAGCAGCACTGATCTTAGGTCGGACTAAATACTCAACTCCCAATTCCACTGAGCTCCAATTCTATCACTGGGGCTAGAGGAATGAGCCACTCTCATCTCTATGATGGTTAGAACCAGGTGTTGGTATTAAAGCATCAACACGTTCAGATTTCAGCAGTGGTTGATCATTGTTAGAAGTGAAGTATGGGAAAATTTCATAAAATAAAAGCTAACCACTAAATACTTAGACTTCAAATTATCAATTAAAAATCCTGATAGCTGATTTTACATCTTTGTTCTATGGTGCTCATGTCACTGAACTAACGAATTTCATCAACAACACTGCCAAATTAACAGTGTCAAATACATGCTGAATCACACCACTCTTTTTTTTTCTGCCATCTTTTGCACAAATATGACTACTTTCACACACGTGCCCCTGACTCACCAATACAAGAACACTATTCATCGTTTCAACTAACTACCACATCACACCATCAACCCACTTAGCAGCAATCATTTCCTTGGTTGTTTTCAGGGATTATCTAATGTTTCAAGAAAATCTCAATTTCTTAATAAATGTTCTTGCTGATGTCAGACTAAGCAGCTCCAAATCACCCAACTGTCAATATGCAAATAATTTTCTTAGATTCTGGCAAATGAACATCTCCAGCTCTGCCTCCTCAGGATCTTACCCTCACCTCCTAAGAATTCATATATGTTCAGGAGCTAGGATTTTTGGGGGTAAGAGGAGTAGTATCTGAACTTAAAAGCTATTGAAAAAGCCCACCTGGATCTTCATTATGCCAAATGAGTCCAACAGTCATAAATTAGAAATTGATCTATGATATCTTAACAGTGTCTGAGGCAGTAACTATTCCCAACCTACCCCTGAAAAAAAAATGAATGAATTTCAAAAGTGCTTTGTTTGTGGTTAACATGGTACAGGCATTTTATGTGAAAATCCCAAGACAGTATTCTGGATACCATTTCCTCTTTTTAATCACAAATGTCATATAAACATGCAGTGTTTTCTTAAATTATTAATCATCAGAATACTAACAGTCAATCAGAATAAAACATGTCATGGAACACGAGAGCCTCTTGTTGAATGCCTCCTTCCAGTGGAAATTAAAATCAGTAGAAACAAAACTCTGAACATTCCCTACAAATCTGGCACATTCTCCGAGGACAATGATGATTGAATCAGTTCAGTTTTTAGCTTACAAAAAAAAAAAAAAAACACAAATGATGAAAAATAAAAATTCCAAGTGAAGCGATGGAATGAAATAATGCAAACATTGAAAATCATCTGGCAATTGTTTTCTACAAGAACATTATTTGATCCTCTACTGAGAATCTATAGGCAATTATCCAAGTAATTTATCATTGTAATTCATACCACTTTGCAATACATAAGAGAGTCTGAACATCCTGTGAAACTTATTTCCCACAGGCCTTAAGATCCACTCAGGAGTTTGGAAAACAACAGAATACTCTCTTCCCAATCTGCTAAATTCTTAGCTATCATATAAAAGAGAGATAGTGTAAATGAGCCAATGCATATGCAACCATTCTCTGCCTGTTTTTAGCGAGTATATTTTCAAAACCATATCACTCTTGTAATTATTTTAGAGTTCCCCAGATTAATACATGTTAAAAAATGAAAGGAAGTTTCTCTCCTGGAAGATTTAATAGTTCATTAGAAACATTAATTATTTTCCACAGTTATGATACTCTAATTCTATACCCTCTAATAATATCTGTACTGTGGTGTCTGAATGACCAATTATCTCAAAATTGCTTATAACCTAGATATACAGAATCATACATTATTATAGCAATTTTCCTTTACAGTTCAGAAAAATGATGTTATGGTCTCTCTGTTCTCATAAGCACTCATCTTGCTCCCAGAAGCACTGCTATGCAAATAAACATCACCAGGCAGAAACACCAAAGGGAACTAAGCTTTGTAACCAGAGTAAACCTTTTTCTTTGAATTTGTTCCAGTTATAAGTTCCACTTCACTGTATCCAAGAATGGTGCTGCTCAAATGCTTAATACATTTTTTTTTCTAAATGGAATATCCCTTTCTTCCCCAGGATGTAGTCTCTATAAAATTATTATTTTGCTATTTCAACTAAAGCAGCAAAAGTGTTTGTTTTCCTGACCTAATTGTCACACTGCTCTAATTTTTCCTCCTATGTCTTATTTGTTGTGTCTATAGACTTAATGCTCTTATTAACACCTTAATTTTTCTGTTTGGTCTCCAATAAGACTTTTCCCTGTTGAAGTTTTCTGTTTCCTGATGCTTATGCTAAGATGACTCAGTTCGCCTCTTTTACAAAGTCCACTTCCATTTCATGTTTAATTCTGCCCTGTTCCACCTAAGCTCTTGCAGGAAAATGGAAGTTGTCCATGCAATATATACCTAAGCCATGAATTTTGTTACCGATTCAGAATATGTTTGCTTTCCTACATTGTAGCAAACAGTTTTTAGAGGAATAAATCTATTTGTATGTTCACTGAAAAGGATTTACTAGTGGCAAACTGATCATAATAATGACAAATGTTATTAAAGTAATTTTGGTTCTGCTAAACATGAAATTTCTGCCTTGAAGTTTGTCTGACTTATTATAGGTGGTCTGATAGCTAAGGCCCACTGATACTTATGGAGTTGGAAAATGGAAAGTAAGGGGTTATAGCAATGTATTTCAGTTATTCTGGGAACACTGGAAACTGCTCTACCTGAAATTAAGCCCACTTGCTGCTGCAAGTCTTGCTGCCTCACCTGTCCTGACCCCAAATGCTGTTCAGCTAATTGGACTGCACAGTTCTATTTCAGCATGTATCAGAAAGCGAATTTCAGTAGGCTGAAGCTAGTCTGTCTTATTAGTTTTCTCAAAATATTTTCTGCTCTGCTTTCATGTGTAGCTAAATTAAAAAAAAATAACGGGACTAGCACTTGGGGATTTGATTAATCCTGGATAATGAAAATGCGTGTTTCATAGAAATACTATCTGGGCATAAACAGTCCTAACTATCCATTTTTTTTCTTGCTATCGTTGCCAAGCATTCTTTGAGCATAAATATAAATGACAAACATTTTGTAATGTGGCTATTGCTGCCATAGTTACAGAACCAATTTCCTATTCAGTGTTCAGGTGGTTTAGAAAAAAATATAATTATTTCTGCTAGAGATGCACTAGAGGTTACACTCTCATGCATAATCAGCCTGCAGCCTCCCTGTAAATGTATCAGATGACACAGCCTAACTCCAGGTAAGATAGGAAGGACTTGTTCAAATACAGTTCCGCAACTTCACATCAACAGAACTAATTCATCTGTAAGTAAAGGGCCACCTGTTCAGAGTCAAAATCATCTTCTTCCTCAGGATAAAGCAGCTTAGAGAGGGCTTGCAGAGGAAACATCTCCATATTATCAGGTTCCACAATTTTCATTTGCTTCTTTTCAGTTTCTGTTTTCTCAGGTTCCATACTCTAAAGAAAAAGATCAGAAAGCAGTAATTCAATTTTCTGTCTTATTTAAGATATGAGGTTTTTTTTATTTGTTTGGTTTTTGGTGTTTTATCCTACTTCATTTTTTCAATAGGTAGGTTCCTCTATAGTCTCATTCTTTCTTGAAATCACTCACAAACCCCTTCAGAAACATGTATTTTGTGAACTCACAAGCCTGGAGTTGCAAGAAAACTCAAGCACTCAGCCTGAATTACTAAACGTATTCAGCAATTCTTTTTTTTTTTTTAAGATTTATTTATTTTTTATTGGAAAGGTGGATATACAGAGAGGAGGACAGAGAGAGAGGAAGATCTTCCGTCCGATGATTCACTCCCCAAGTGAGCGTAATGGCCGCTGCTTCGCCAATCCGAAGCCAGGAACCAGGAACATCTTCCGGGTCTCCCACATGGGTGCAGGGTCCCAAAGCTTTGGGCCGTCCTCAACTGCTTTCCCAGGCCACAAGCAGGGAGCTAAATGGGAAGTGGAGCAGCTGGGACTAGAACCGGCGTCCATATGGGATCCCGGCGTGTTCAAGGCGAGGACTTTAGCTGCTAGGCCATGCCGCCGGGCCTCATATTCAGTAATTCTAATAAGCGTTTACTGAACACCGACAACAGAGGTTCCGAGGTTTTAGTGTGTTGAAGAATCACTTGAGGACTTGGTTATAAACGCAGATTCTTAAACCTTCTCTCTAGACAAAGCACATATCAGTGTCAAATAGATGATGCATCACTATTTGCGAATGTATTTCTTATGTTTTTATCCTTTTGTGTATGCTGATTAGACAGCATGTTTTATTTAGTGAGCTGAAAATGATGTTGCTTGACGGATATGTCCAAATGACCTTTGTTCATTTTACACCGATGGCTCGGGCAGGCCTGTAAGTTCTGCTTTATTTCAACTCTTAATTAACCCTTGGTAATGCTTGGTATTTTACTGCAAACTAAGAATACTCATGGGTTGGTTCATTGACTTTAGTGAACATTCATACACAAATCAATAACTGTTAATTTTTCTGATGGCAACAGTGATACTATGCATATCTATTATGAAAATAATATAAATATATATTACATATGATATAAATATATAATATACACAATATATTAGTTAAGTATAACTATATAATATATAACATATTAAATGTAATTGTATGTTATATAATGTTATATAATATATTACATATAATATAAAACACATACATATATAATATATTATATATATATGAAATATAGATAAGAAAAATGACAGCTACCAATAATCCTCCCATCCAGATATCAGTCTCTAAGTAATCTCTGACATTGTATTCCAAGGAAAAATTCAGGATTTTTGAAAAAGTTGTAGGCGTCAGACTTTAATGAATAACCTGAATAAAGTGTAGAATTAGGCCTATCTTGAGTGATTTCAGCATTAATATCCTAGAAATTTTCACTACACAACTGCTGGTAGTTTTAAAGCATTATATTTATAAAAGCTAACTCATGCAAAACATTTATTTAGGGCTTTTAGTAAATGAACCACAAACATTTTTGTATTGTGTTTAGCACAGTAACATTCTCAAATGTGTGCTAGTAGCCCCCCGTCATAATCAATCTGCATATAGATTGTGTTTTACAAATCTTTTACTTTATTATTATAGTTTATGGTTACTTTGACCGGTTTTAAATAGAAAGCTGATCTTAATATCTATTGGAAATGTCAAGGGTACAGAGCAAATATTAAATTGCTTCTAGCCTAGAGGCGGTTTTTCCTAGTTGCTAAGAGTAAAGACTCTGAAGTCACACTGCTTAGATTTGTATCCATCATTTACTTCTAGCTCTGTGAGTTTGAGAACATTATTTAAGCTTTCTACACCCAATTTCCTTTATCTACAAAATGAGAATAATTATAGCATCTATCTCAGGATTCTTATAAGGATTAAGTAGCTTCACACACATAAAAGAGCTTGGAACAGTGCCGGGGACATAGTAAGCACTCAACATATGTTAGCTATTATTGCTCCTTTAAAAGTTTAATTTTTCTGGACATGAATATTGCTTCTAATAGTAATGTGAAATAAGTTAATGATAAAACTCATTACATTGGAAACTCATTAAATTGGAACAGGTGAAATAAAAGGCGATAAAACAATCTTCTCTCACATGGTCTAGCAGTCTGTTATGGAAATGAATAATTTACACATATTAAATTAAAGAGGTTCCTATTTATATTTTAAAACTCTTATTTAATTATGTGTTCATTAAATATTTACCTAACATTCAAAGCAAGACATTTATTGAAATATTTTCTACCTCTGACAATGAAAGGAAAAAAAAATGCATCCAGATCTCATCAGATGCAATGATATCATTAGTATTTTGAGATTATTCAAACAATGACATTTGAAAACAAATATAACTGAAATGATTATCATACCAGCAATTAACTAGTTTACAAAATTATTTTCATGGTCTGATTTCACGAGGTAGGTGAGTGTCCTAAAACATGAAAAGATACATAAAAATATTATTATCTGGCATCTAATTCTAGGACCTACAAATTTCCTGTCATGAAGAAAGCTTGTGAGAGCTCAGTGGCTGACTGGTAAGAGGAAAAATAAACTGAGATGGGCAAAGTTAATTGCTAAGGAAGGTATCTGAAAGACTCAAATATAGTGACTAAAGTAGCAGTCAGCATCACTTTGTGGTCTTCTTTGCTTTGCAAGGGTGCCACAGCAGAGTTCTTGGGAATGAACACTACTTTAAGGCAGAAAGGATGAACAGTCATGATTTTAGGAAACTTCATTTAGGCTGAAGCATTGGCCCATAGGTAGAAACATGGAGGTGGGGTCTTGAGGACTGCGAGAGGACTTGAGAGCTGAAGGACTGGCACTTGAATGAAGAATTAGAATAGGGAAGTGCTCAAAGTTCCACCTGGACACCTACAGTAGAGACCATGAAAGAAGGCTATGGTTCAGTGTGTGCACTGGATGCCACATTTAGAGAACATACATTAAATCTAAATCCCAACCAGTTAATTGGGAAAAGAGCTCTTGCCTGGTTTTCACTAGGTGGGAGGTAGGGTAGTGTGAACAGTAAGACACTATCTCTATAGGCTGAACAACTTCCAGCTGGAGCTGGCACACAGTCAGCAATTAGTTACTTAGAGTACTAAGTGGTGCATGGTTAAAGTCGTACAACTATATTTCAAAATAGTCTCTATTAAGCTATAGACCGATGTAAGTTATGTTCTAAATGCTGAAAACACTGTAGAATTTAGAAAATTGCTTTGTTGTTGAAATTGCATTTACATCATCAAGAAAATCAGCTATTATTCAGTTTGACTACACATTAGATTTGTCTCCGAGAGATTTCTAGATATGTCTACATATCATACCTACTTTTAAAAGATGAAGATTTGCTTTCTTTAAGCATATTCAAAATGTGTTACAGACCTCAAGATGATTCTAAGAGTAGTTTCAAAAGTAATTTGAGCAATAACAACATCATTACAATTAAGTAGATAAGCCTCCCAAAGTGACTGCTTTGAAGCAAATGCCATTCTTTTGCATTTGTGTGTGTATGTGTGCGTGTAACCAATTTAAATTACTTTTGTAAGATCAAAAAGTAATTGGAAAAGCCAAAGGTAACCTAAAACATGTTTGCTTGATACCATTTAAAAAAAAATCTCTTATAAGTCCCTGCAATCTAAAATATTTCAAATGGAGCTGTGTAAAATATTGATCAAGGAGAAGTAGTTCTCTTTTTACCTCATGCTATAAATTAAAAGGCTCGATAACTGTGTCCGGCAAGAATAAAGTTTGATGTTGAAATTTAAAAATGATTATGTGAATTTGTGGAGAAAATATTCCAAATTCAATGGCAATGAATATTCTACTAGCTTTTTAGAACTTACTTAATAAAGTAAGAATTTATTAGGCTTTGTTAGACTACAAAAAGTTGGAAAAACTCAATCATGACGCCTTTTTATGAACTATGTAGTGTTAATTTATTATGGCTGTGCTTAATTTATTTTTTTTATTTTTTATTTTTTTTAAAAGATTTTTATTATTATTATTATTTTTATTGGAAAGGCGGATATACAGAGAGGAGAGACAGAGAGGAAGATCCTCCGTCCCATGATTCACTCCCCAAGTGAGCGCAACGGTCGATGCTATGCTGATCCGAAGCCAGGAGCCTCTTCCGGGTCTCCCACGCGGGTGCAGGTTCCCAAAGCCTTGGGCTGTCCTTGACTGCTTTCCCAGGCCACAGGCAGGGAGCTGGAAGGGAAGCGGGGCTGCCGGGACTAGAACCGGCGCCCACATGGGATCCCAGGGGTGCAAGGCGAGGACCTTAACCACTGCGCCACTGCGCCGGGCCCGGCTGTGCTTAATTTATAAATTTGATATATAATTAAGTTCATCTTCAGTCTGGCAATTAAAGTTCATCAGTCTGTAGCATTAACCAATTCTTCTGCCTTTCCTTACTAACATTATCCTACATGCGTTCTGCATTCTGTTAGAAGCCAAAGTCTAAGTATATCCTATAATGTCCTGCTTTGGTACCTTGGAATGTATTCTTTTGCATAGAGTACTTGACTAGTGTTGTTTGGTGATTTTAAAAAAGAAGTTTTGATAGTCATATTGCCTGTGTCTGAATCTGTCACTGCCACTTGAATGAACCAAGGATAAATTTCCTTTCTCTCACTTTTACTAGGCCAGTGTCAATGGGCCCATTTTCCAGACAGAGCCTTTCACTTTCTTCTCATCAATCTGAACCTTTAAGGGTCTTTACAGATAAAGTTGTGATTAGAAAATGCTCCAAAACCAGCTCAGTACTAAACTTTGGAGGCTGTCAGAAACTAAAAACATTCAAACTGGATACCTCCAGGTTCATGACACTGATGCAATTTTGGAGGCCTTGGGATGCAGTCCCACTCCAATTGTGAAGCTGGGATCATGTTTTAAATTTTATATGCTTCTATCTACAGAATCATTATAG